ACCTGATCTGCGTCTTACCAGAAATATGTCGGGCTCGGGAGTCGGTTACGGTCAAGGAAGGATTAGCACCCTTGAACCGCCCTTTCGGTACTACGTAATTTCCAGTTGTCTTAATTAAGAAAAATAACAAGCTAAATTAAAAGGTAAAGTTTCAATCCTAATTACTTACCTTTGATTATTTGAAGATATACACTTAAAAAATGTTAGATTAATTAACCGAATACACGAGGGAAAAAAATAAAGAAAAAAATAGAGACGAAAATAAAAGAATAAGATAAAAAGGGGATAATAGTAAATATACATAATAAGGTGCTAAAGGTAGGAACATGAAAGTACCCGAAAGGTAAAACATGCATATATCTATATATAAATGTTAAGATAAAGGAAATGTAAAATAGTAACATATATTAGATAAAACAAATAAAATAAATAAAAGTATATGTATATTCAATAGTAATATTAATGATAAATAATTAAATATTAGAGGGGAAAAACGATAGTAATAAGAAAAAACGAGTACAAAAAAGTAAAATATATGTATATATACAATAATAAAATATAGAAAGTAAACCAAAAAAATATAATAGTGACAGACTTAGAATATATATATATATATATATATATATATATATATATATATATAACGTAATGTCCAAAAAACAAGCAAATAATTAAAATATATATAGTAATATACATATATAAAAATAATAAAAGAAAATAATAATAACAAGAATAGAATAAAATATATATACATATACATACGTAATAAATAAAATAAAAAATATAATAGGTAATAAAAAAATACAGAGGGATTAAATTGAATTTTACGCAAGTTAGGTGCTCAAATTAAAAGGAAATGAAAGTTATAGGTTAAATTAAAAATGAGGAAGTAAAAATAAATAAATAAATAAATTGGCTTTCAAAAGTGATCAAATCGAACGAATCGTAACATGGAGATCAAATTTAGGAACAAATTAGTGAACAAAATCGAATTTAGGGACAAAGATGGGGCTTTTGACATAGAAGGGGACTAAAAGGGGAATTTTCCCTATTTTATTAGAAAACGCGGATCCTCCCCGGGTCTGCGTCGACGCGCGGGTCACCGCTCGGGTCCATGGGCCTGAGTATAAATATCAAAAAATTTTATATTCTTCTCATTTCTTCTCCTCTTGCCAAAACGAGACCCCCGTCTCTCTTATTCTCTCTCGCCAGTTCTTGTGTTCCTGAAGAACACATGAACGCCGGCGTGAATTTCCAGATTCCGGTGACTCGTGCCGCCTCGTCGCCGCCGTTGAACGGCGACGGCCACCGTTCATCGGCGGTAAAACCCAAAAAAAATTTAATTTTTCGCAAGTTCCCAACTCCCCTATTTCAAATATCCGATTGGTTTTCCACCAAATCAAGCCTCGGGGACTAGATCTACCGAAGTAGATCTTGAAAACGCCCCTTGTTCATCGGCTAATAAGCAATTTGTGGGTTCATTTCGCAACAAATAACACAGGGGATACGACATGCAAGACAAGAAATCGAATGAACAAGGTAAAAAAAAAGCTACCTTTTTTTTATTATCTCTCTCGAAGATCTTTACAAGGGCTTGAACTTTCTTGGCTATTGTGTGTGAGTGGTTGTTACACAGTGATCTCGTGTGTGAATCCAGTGTCAATCCCCCCCTTTGTGTGTTGATTTTTACATTTATTTATACTGAAAAAAAACCCTACTTTAGATTACATATTTGAAACCTAATGAAACTCTAATGCTGGGTTTACGGTTTTTGGTAATGAACATGAGTCTTGATCACCGGATGATGCGGGTCGCTGTGCGAGGCGTGCGGCTGGGGGTTTCAATGAGTGGAGTGCGGCGCTGGAATGATTGGAGGTTGAAACCCTAAAGTAGGGTCTGCTATGAACCGTTGGATCTAGTCTAGATCCAACGGTCATTAACGCTGGCGGCTGGGATGAGCTAGGGTTTCCAGGAACCCTATTCCTCTGCACGGTGGGCTACACTCCAGCGGTTTATTGGGCCTGCAAATGTAATTTTATTTTTAAAATGGGCATGTACCATTTAATTAATAATATTATATATATATAATTATAGAATACAATAATATTAATAAAAGACAAAATTGAGTGTCTTCACTTTGCAACACGTAACATTAGAGTTTCATAAATTAACTTTTTTAATGACAGTTTTAGTTGAAGATTCATGGGTAAAGGCACATATTGTAAAACACCATGAACATTCTCCTATGACCCTCCAAAACACAAATCTATCCAAACATGATCAACATTAGATGATTTCATTCTACAAATTGTAAATTAATTTACTAAACAAACAAGCTATAAACTATATATCATCATTAACTTAGATAAAAACATACCTTTATTAAGTTGATAGTTGATAATTTGGGAGAGAAATCATTGAAAATTATATAGAAATAAAATTATGTAAAAAAAATTAGAGATGGGGAAGGATGTCGTTGGATATAAGAACAGATGTCGCCGGAGAAAGTGATAGATGGAGATGGAATGAGTTGCGATTTAGGGATTTAGGTTATGAGTTGATGCTGCTGCGTTGTTATATACCCAAAACATTTGTGTTGCGAAACTAAAACCTGTTGCGAATTTGAAATTCAGTTGCGAATTTGAAATTCAGTTGCGAATTTAACTTTGTGTTGCGAATTTGAATATCGCGTTTCGAATTTGACTTATGTGTTGCGATTTACAAATTCGCGTTGCGATTTATAGATTCGCGTTGCGATTTACAGATTCGCGTTGCGAAATTGGAAACTGGGTTGCGAGATTTGAGTTCGCATTGCGAATTTGAGATCGCGTTGCGAATTTGTTGGTCATTTTGGCAAATCCAAAAAAAGTTTGTTAAATTCGTATATTATAAGGTATTTTTGGTCACTGAAGTTATTTTCTCCTTAAAAAATTGACCCTTGAACTTGACTAAAATAAATAAATTAGTCATGTCATCAACTATCGTAGATTGTCACGTCAGCACCGTGAAGTATCACATCAATATCGTAAGAGTCAACGACATAAACTATTGGTCAAATGTCCATATTGGGTCTGTTAAATTTGAGGGGCACATTGGATGTAAAAAAGTACGAGGGCCATATTTTTTTAAGTACAAGAGCCTCACATATAATTTTGCCTAAAATATTTACATGAACCTTTAATAAAATGTATACACAAATAATTCAATATTTTCTATTTTTAAAGTTTTATTTATTTGAAAATTTAGAAACATACATACGTCAATTTAATTATATGTTTATTATTAGGTATTAATATATTGAGAGAGATACGTGTTTATACCAGTGTAAGTATGTGTTAAGGGCTACACACTTTTTTATTTTATTTGCTTGTAATAGTGTAAGTATATGTTAAGTGCTATATTTTTGTTATTGTATGAATTATGAAACTTTAAAACGTTAATATGATATTATTTTGAAAAAATATATAATAGGTTAACTGGACGTTAACTTGTAACAGAATTGTTAATAACAATTAATTATTATTTTTTAATGGTTACATTACTAATAAAAAAATCGTGTAACTGTTATAATGATTAACCATCCGTTTAATCTAAACAATATGGTTAACCGTACAAGAACATCCCTAAACAACACAATTCAGTCATGACCTAGGCAAAGTTGGTCAATAGTAATAGTATTGTTTAGTGTTGATACGTTGCTAAATTTTTATCTTGTTGAACCTAAATGAATTGTTGGATTTCTTTGAATACAACTTGTTATATGGAAATTATTAATTGATTAATGATTAATGTATATTATTAATATAATATCATATATATGTTAAATTATTGATACATTATATATTATTATATATTATGTCATTTAAAATAATAAAATTGTTTGAATTTTTTTATAATTTTGGAGCTTTGAATGAGAAATTGATCCAAATGATATTGAAGAAAATGTGGAACTAATTGTTGGTTCGTAAATGTGCAGACGTGCACGATGTTTGTAACGTGAATGTCCGAACGGTCTAACTCTTTGCGGGCTTGCGAATATTTTAACCTAAATGTAAGATATTTTCCTAAAATATATAATATCTTTTCAAAATCTGTTTTGAAATTAAAATGATAAATATTAAAATGTTCCTTTAATCAAAATAATAATTTTGGAAATTATTTAATTATTTGATTCTCATTAATGCTAGGTTAGGTAAAAAAAATTCAATTGTTCACAAGGTGAACTCCATATAAATATTGTGTTAATATACTAGGTTAAACACAATTCAAAAACCAATTAAAGGAATTCTTTTATCTAGTTTTTGGTGATATGTGAAGAAAAGAAATAGTTTGTGATCTTGACAGTTGTGCTATTGTGCGTTGATCATCTCGTTGTTGTATCTTGGAAGACAGACTATCAAAGATCTCGAGCACTAAGGAGTAACTGAAAATTTGTCTTGAAGAAACTACGTAATTGTAGGCCTTAACTTATTTATGTTCACATATTTATAGTTTTATATTTAGATTATTTAATCGAATATTTTTCATGTTATTAATTGTCTTTGTTTTATTTTTTATTAATGTACATGAATTTTACGATGAGACTATGTCGAGGAATTGCATGTCGTTTGATTTGATTTGTATGAATCACCATAGAAACAAATTATGGATCTATAAAATATTTAATTTTTCTTTTCTTTTCGTTTCGTTTCGTATTGTTATACCTATAACAAATATGACATGTATTATATCATTTAAAGTGATGATATAACATATATTACATCACCTAAAATAATGATATATTATGTATTACGTCACTCAAAATAAATATATAACATGTGACGTGTCAAATATTAAATATATACAAAAATATTATATCAATATATATATATATATATATATATATATATATATAATCATTAGTAAATTACTTTTTTTTATCTAATAAAGATACTTTTAATATAAAGTAATGTAGTAATTGGAGAAGGATAATAAGAGGGGGGATCTTCGAGGCTGATAATTTTTGGGATTAATAGAAAGACGTGGCATGATGTGAGGCAGACAATTTCCGAGCCACAACCCTGAACGTACTATATGCCCACGCCATCGTTGTCTCTTCCTCAACAAACCAGCTTCAGCCTTCAGCTCGAGGCATTAGCGCGCCCACTCGTGTTTGTGTTGTGTTGTACTGTGTCGGCCATTGTTATCCTCCTTAAAATGCGCGCTCTTCTTACCTTGAGACCTCCGTGCATTTCTTCTTGTTATTTTCCTCCTACTTCCTCCTCTTCCAATTCCTTTCTCTATAGCTGCTTTAGACCCAACAAGCGTTTCCATTTATTCAAGCCTTGTTCTTCCCTCAGACAAACAAAGAAGCAGCAGTCCCTTCAAAAGAGTCCGCCCAATGCTCCACAGAGTGTGAGGTGGTTCCTCAACCCCAAAGGCGACGATGACGAGAAAATAAAAGGGGATGGGGATGGGGATAATGGAGAAATTGAAGGGGACACTGCGCTTAAAGGTACCCTTTTGGCTGGAGTTTTACTTGTGGGTGTTGTTGGTGGATTTGGATTTGCTGGGTACGTCTACAAGGACCAAATCAACGCTTTCTTGAACCAGTTCTCCACTTTCATTGAAGGTATTATACTTCGTGAAGTCCGGACCTTGTATTGTTTTTGTTAATTGGGGCTCTTTGAAATCGGAATTGATTTTTTTTATCATTATTTGAATTTCCTGATTTAGTTTACTTTAGCTTTCCAGGTATTTTTATGGATTTGGGATTTACATGTATCTTCTTATCCACTAAAGAAATTTTAACACTGTAATTCGTGCAACGTTAAACCATTCACAGTTTTGCGTTTGAAGTTATCTGCACTGTGAAAAACCCTTAAATAGCATATTTAAGAGAACGTTCTTGTTTGGGGCTTCGTGCTTTCTAATTCTTTCTTTCTTTCATTCACTAATGAACGTGGTCTAGAATTTTAATGGGGGGTTTCTTCAATAAACAGGCTATGGACCTGCTGGATATGCTTTGTTTGTAGCAGTTTATGCAGGATTGGAAGTAAGCATCAATTATCATTTTTCATGCTTTACCTTTTTTATTCGGTTCTATTCGACTCCCAACAATGAGTTACTTTTGTTTTTCTTCTAGTTTTTTATGCAGTCTAATGCTTGTAAGTCTTTTTGTTATGTTGTAGGTTCTTGCTATTCCTGCCATTCCATTGACCATGTCTGCTGGTCTTCTTTTCGGCTCTGTCATTGGCACCATTATAGTCTCTATTAGTGGAACAGTAAGCTTTTTATCTTCCTAATACAAGAGAGGAGAGAATGCGAGTGCGCCGGAACTTGTGTATTAACATTCTTTTGATCTTTTAGGTGGCGGCAAGTGTTGCCTTTCTGATTGCTAGATATTTTGCTCGTGAGCGAATTCTAAAACTAGTTGAAGGGAACAAAAAGTTCCTTGCAATTGACAAAGCAATTGGAGAAAATGGCTTCAGAGTGGTGACCCTCCTTCGATTGAGTCCTTTGCTCCCGTTTTCACTGGGGAATTATCTCTATGGATTAACATCTGTGAAGTTTGTGCCATATGTGTTGGGAAGGTTTGCTTTCTTCATCTTTGAACTGATAATGTGTGCTTGCCTTTTATGTCTGTTGTGATGTTTAAATGCCACTAAAGAGATATTCATGATTCACTAAATTGACAAATAGTTGCATCAACCTTCAACTTACCAACTTGTTGTAAAATTTTGTTATTAAAGAAAATTAATATTTATTAGATTGTTATTCTAAATGTTTTCAGGCATGCTCTCGCGACCACAGTTATAAAATTCTCTCCCTGTCTCTATTTGACTGAAATTTGATATAAGTTTCTTCTGGTATGATCGCCAACTGCACCGCATTTTCCCATATAAATTAGAATGATCCTGAAATTATTTTTACTTTTCAGATTAAAAAACATTTATTCAATTTGAATGATCAAGATTTGTTATATATGCATTATCATTAATAAACGAATTCCTAAGAGCTTTACATGATGTTTGCCAAAAGTGGATGGAGTCTTGAGAAGAGGTCCTTAATCCTCAATTATGGAAGGAGAAAGGGACCTAAAGAACAGTTGTTTAGCCTACAGCTTGCTATGATCTAAAGGCTAGATTATGATGTAAAACCAACTTGGTATTTGGTAAAACACTTATCGCCTTTGAATTGGGAAATAGAAGTTTGCTAAAAGTCTACCTGCTATCCACTTTAAGCTCCAAACTGAATCAAATGATTGTCATGCAGTTGGCTGGGGATGCTTCCAGGAACATGGGCTTATGTCAGTGCCGGTGCATTCGGTCGAGCAATTATTGTAAGTTCACGTTTATATTCCTTTCGAAGTAATCTATATGATAAAATTTTAGTCATTCAAACTTCATATTTTTTATCCATGTCTTTTGGGAAGAGGGTAATGACCCCATGACACTTGCACCTATTTTTGGTGTTATGGTTAGTTATCATGCAGTTGCCTGAGTTCTGGTTTTATCAAATGACTTATATTTTTCTCCTTTTGAAACCTTTTCAGCAAGAGGATTCAGAGTTCGGGATCGGTGGAGGAAATGGTATATTGACTCTCGGACTCGGACTGTTGGTCACTGCTGTAGCAGCAGCTTATGTGACGCAGCTTGCAAAGGTAATCTCATTTGGCTACCTTATCATACTGTTGACCTTTTTATTGCCAGTGCCCATATCATCAGTCCAAATTTCATTTGATGACTTACTTTCGAGTCCAAGAGGTACGGGGCAGGTTAGGATTAGTGGTTGCCTAAAATCTCACACGACAGGTTGTCGGCAATGAAAATGGATTGTGTCCTTTCCCCTCCCGAATTGATTATCTGATATCTGTTGCCTGGGTTGTGATGGTGCAGGATGCCGTGAAAGATATCGAGTGAGCATTCAGGAGCCAGTTTTGGTACACTTAAGTTGATTACAGTATAGCTGAAAATTGTAAAACTGACGACTGCAAATCTAGCGTATATACATCAAAATCAATCTGTATGTAATGCAATGAATTCCACCTTTTAGTGAATATACCATCCTTATTGTTACGTAAATCATTAGCAATAGCCTTTGGGCGGCGTTGTTTTTTTAATTGGTTGAGTGGATGGTCGAAAGTTTTTGGGATGGTGTCAAGAATGATATTTAGGGATAATTATTGAGGTTTGATAATGAAGGAATAAGAGTGGGGTGGGGTCGATGGTACTTATGTAGTTAAAAGTGATTCCAGAGGTGAAAGTGACACTAGTTTAGACAAATGATTAATATAAAAATATGTGTTTAAATTATATTTCGAAATATAATTTGATGTCTAAATATTTTTTCATTAAAATTATATGCATAATGTTTTATTTTTACATTTTTAGATGTCTACCGTTATATTTTGAATTTTTTTAATAATAACAAATAATTTTAAAAAAACAGAAAAAAGTTAAAAAAATAAAAACCCTTCCCCCTCGTTGTTCCTCTCCCTCCGTTGCCCTGCCTCCGACGGTGAACGGTTATCATCGGTTAGGTTTTGTTCGGAGCACGACGAGGAACACAACGAATGTGGCCGTGTAACGTACGGATTGTTGTAGCCGTCGAAAAACATAAATGAAAACCTTCAAATCCGACAATCCTTCACAGTGTTTTTCAAAATGATCGATGTAGTTTTACAGTGGGTGAGGGATTGAGTTTTGGTTGCAACGGTGATATGGTTAGAATGGTGTCAATGATAACGATCACAAACCTATGATGGCTGATCGACAACGGAAAATATAAAATTTGGGGTTTTTTATATTTTGATATTAATTTTTTGAAATAAAATATTTTTAAAATTTTATATGCGTGACACGTATCAGATAACGACCAAATTTAATGATCGTTATTGTCCAACACTTAAAAGTGTAACGTTAAAAATATTAAACATCTATTTTGAACTAATTTTTTTTTAAACACAATTCGTATTTGGAGGTATAATTTAAAGATTTATTTTTGTATTAAGCCTTAGATAAAAGAATAGGCAAATAGGTAATGATTTAAATGTGAGTAGGCGTCCTATTAATGATTATCTTACAATAATATACAACATAACGAGAATAACACTCGAAAAATAAAACAACATTATAATTCAAGACCATATATTTGTTGGAAACAAATATCTCAATTTAAAAAATATTAAATTATAATAAATTCAGGTAAAAAGTTTATTTTTTTTCTAGAGAATATAAAGAAAAGGACAAACTATACAAATAGTTACTAAACTTTTAGAAAATTTTCATTTTGTTCATTAAAATCAAAAATATTTTTTTTCTAAAATTATCGTCGTTAATTATAACTTTCATTTCGATCATTGTTTCGTTATACAACTAAGTACAGTTACGATATGCCCACATGTTAACAATAGTTGTGTTATCATCTTATTGAAGGTATTATTTTGTTAAAGAAAAATAACATATGGGCAGGCTAACTTAATTATTATTGATATGTGAGTGTATCACGCCAACTACTGTTTACAGTATAGGTTCAGTGATAACAATGAAAGTTTTATTAATAATAGTGATTTAGGACCAATTTGACATTACACTTGAAAGTTTAAATGCTGTAGAAAAGAACTTTTAAAAGTATTTTTTGAAAATACAATTTAAAATTTAATTATTTAATGGATTACTATTAAAAATGATTTTGAATAGATAGAATATTCATTTTAAATGCTATGTTGTCAATTAAAAATATGACATTTAAATCATATTGACACTTATTAATACAACAATATATAAAATATATCAACTTAAACTATAATAAAAGTTATAAAAATATTTTAAGATAACTCATTAATGATATTTTTATAAACAAAATATTTTATTAAGAAAAAATATATGATAAATTATGTGTTTAGTACCTAAACTATCAATTTTGGTCCCTTTTAGTACTTAAATTTAAATTTTTTCACAACCATGCATAATGTTTAGTTTTTGTTTCGTTTTAGCATCTCACTGTTAAAAACTTAATGGGTGATATGCATGTGGCACCTTTTTTATGGCTAAATTGCATCATTCATCACTAACCTATCTTCTCATTCCTATTTTGGTCACTAAAGTTTAATATTTTAATTTAATTACTTAACTTTCAAATTACTCCTAATTTAACCACTCTAACTTTCAATTTTTTTAAATTTTTTATTTTTAATTACATATTAAAAAATAATAATATAAAATGTCATGTCACAAAAATTATTAATAAAATAGATTAGAGTGATTAAAATAAGAGCAATTTGAAATTTGAGTATTTAAATTAAAGATTTTTAAACTTTAGTACCAAAATAGAAGTGATAAGATAGTTGAGCGATGAATGATATAATTTACCCATAAGAAATATAGTGTCGTTAAGTTTTTAACGACGATGTATAAAAATGAAACAAAAACTAAACATTAGGTATATTTATGAAAAAATTGAAAGTTTAAGTACTAAAATGGATCAAAATTGATAGTTTAGATACTGCAGTATAATTTACCCAAAAATATTATAAATACCTTTTAACATTTGAATTTTTAAATAAATATTTTAATTATTATGATTTAATCATAATCACTCATTTAATTTAAAAATAAAATAATTTAAATGATATATTTATTCTTTTAACCATTTAGAAATATAAAGGAAAAAGATATATATTATATATAAATTTAATTTTTTAATTATATATGACATATATCAATTTAATTTATAATAAAAATATAAAAAATAAAAATAAAAATATGATTATATTAAAATATATTTTATAATAACTCATTATTAATACTTTAATGTATAAATCATAAATTTTATTTATTTTTAAGTAATCAAAATTAATTATTTTTAAAGATGTTAATATTAATAAAATGTAAATACAAAATTAATAAATTAAATTGAATTTCAAAGTTTGTTTTCATGACAAATGAGCGGAATCTATGCATTAGTAAATGTAAAAATATAAATTTACTTTTTAAATGTGATTGAAAAAGCTATAAATATTAATTTTTACGGTTAATTTAAAACCACTGTTTTCATACTTTTTTTCTTCAAAATTTATTGTTTGACATTGAATTTGCGATAGAACAAGTTTTTTTTAATTAAAAGTAGATTTAGACAACGTTACCAAAAGCAATCTTAGTAAAAGTTTTTCGATTTTAGTGACTAAAGCAAAACGTTCCTAAACGTTTATTACTGTCAGTGTAGTTTACCCAAAAAGTAAAATGTGGACCAGACAAAATTATAAAAGGGAGGAATTGTGATATTTTCCCAGCTATAAATTAGCCTTAAACCCTAATCCACATACCCAAAACGCGATCTTTTTATCACTTCTTCTTCCATCCTCTTACTTTCATTGCTTCCCAGTTTGTCCCTTCTTCTCAAAACCCTAGATTAGTTATCCCTTTCCCGTGCATTTTGATGGCGAAGGAAGAGGCCGTAGCCGCTGTACCCGACCCTGTCCCTTTCGATCATAAGCGGAAACTTGATGATCTCGAGCCCCAATACCCCCCTGTCGGCATGCCTCGTGACAATGCTGTAGACCTTGATGCGGAGGATAATAATGTAGCGCCATCTGATTCGTCAGACGCCAAACGCCGTAGGCTCGACGAGGATAATGCCGATGACTTGGGTAATGAAAATGCTCTCTGTTTTTTTTTCTTTTCTTTTGGTTTTATGTTCAATTTTAGGAGTGTTTTTATGGAGGTAAAATTATATTTATAGGGTTTCCTTGCTATCTTTTACGGTCTTTTTGGCAAATTAAATATGTTTTAGATTGCGAGATTTTATGTAGGGTGAAAATGAAGTGAGAAAATTAAGGCTCCGTGTAGTTGATATTTTTTCTGTTATTTGCCTTTACTTGTTTTTGAAGGGAGCCTATGATTGAAATGTAATGTTATGTAGGAATACAGTATGTGAATTTGGGAAAGTTCGATATTAATTTTTAATAATTTAAAATGTGGTATTAAACACCTTTATTTTTATTCTTCAATTTTCTGCAGAAAGAAAAAAATAGTTTATCTATTTATTTTTTTACATATCTAACTGTTCTAGTTCTATGTTTATTATGCTTAACATAACAGCCAGTGAGAATGGGTTCCAAGCTGAGGAATCAGACGAACCTGCAAAGGAGGAAGAGGAGGTTCCTCAGAAAAATGAGGTTAACATGCAAGCAGAAGATGGTGATTCTCCTTCAAATGAGGCTGAGGATACTGTAAAACCAGATCAAGTTGAAGGAACTACGGAGGGAACGGATCAGCGGTCTACAGATACTCTTGAAGCTACTGATGCCGAGTTAGGTAAAGTTGAGAGTTTTGAGGCAGATAATGGTCAAGAACCCACTAAAGAGGATACTGAGCAACCCTCTGATGAGTTGCTTCAGCAGGAGGTTGATGATGGCTCAACTATTACTCGAAAAATGGAGGTTCCTAATGCTAAGGTATGCTGACTAATTTATTTAAACTAACTCATTGTGAATTGTTTAGTTGGGTGTAAACTAAGTTTATTTTGGCATAGTTACTTCAGAAAACATTAGAATAAATCCTTTTGTACTATAGTCTGTTTGTTATCACGTCAAACAGGTGAAGAAACTGGTCCATTATCAATTTTTTTCTAATAATGCTAGGCTCTCCCTTTGTTCTCTCACTCCCTTAAGCTGGATGTCATCTATTAAATCACATCTTTTGAAAGGGATCTTGTTATACGTATAAACTCTAAACTACATTAAATGTGTTTTCTGCATTTCTTTTGTTCAATGTTTGATGACCTCAACACTTCTATCTTGTTATCCAAACAAATGCCTTACCCCCTCTTCACTATTGCGAAACATCTTGTTATCCAGACAATGTTCATGTTTATCACGATGTCACAAACTAATGCTCATTACTTCAGTTTGGATATTTTAATTAAAAAACACTCAACCTGATTATGTTTGGGAAGTACGTGTTATGATTTTTATTTGTCATATGCTTGTGCAGGTTGGTGTTCTCATTGGAAAGGCAGGGGATACTATAAGGTACCTACAATACAACTCAGGTGCAAAAATTCAAATTATGAGGGATG